CCATTGTGTGACCGTGGGCAAGTCCAATGGCTGCTCTAAGCCTTGGCTTCCTTGGCTATGAAACACAGATGATAATACTGAGCTCGTACCATCATTTTACATTCTAACTGAGATAATGCATAGCAAGCACTCGAAACAGTGTCTGGCACATAGTAAGCTCTTAAAAGCTTTAGCTGTGTTTTAAAATCAGCTGGAGAGCCCACTCAAGATTAGGATACCTAGGAACCTCCTCCAGAGATCATGATTCACTAGATCTGGGCAAGAACCTAGGAATCTGCATTTTAATAAACACTGCCTGTGAGTTGGAAAACCACTGTTAGTGCAGCCAGATGTACCTAATTCCAAAGTTAATGTTACCTCACCAGGAAGCAAATTCTTCAGTCCCTTCCCATTTTGTATTGGTATTCCTATGATTTTCCAAAGGGGCCGTGTGTTACCTCAATTTAACACCTTCCTAAGTAACATTTCATCTACATTGCTTTGAAAAAAAATCACTTTTTTGCCTCTTAGACACTCTCTTAAGTCACAATATTTTCCATGATGCTGCCCTTCATTTTTAGAGTCCCACAGACCTGACATGACCAGGCCCTCGTGTCCTTCTATCGCATAGCATCAGGGACTTGACTCGTGTCCTCTCTAGGCTAGAACCCAGTCTCCAAAGCCAAGCCCATGTCAGAGAGAGCTGAGTGTTCAGGGGTAGCTGTGTTTCAGGCCAACTCCAATTTGGTTTTCTTGCTTCCATCCCCAAACCAGGAGGCCTGCAAGCCCCACATATCAAACAACTGGTTTGTGGAATTGGTTGTTATTACAGGGAGATAACTGAGCTGCCTCCTGAAACATGAGGTCCTTAAACCAATGGGGTATCATACATACCCAGTGCTTTCTGGAAAAGTAAAGTGTACAACTCCATTTTCACCATGTTGTTTTGGAAAATAGACCTCAGAAACCAAAGGCAAACACTCAACATTCCAATCCAACTCCATCATCTTCCATGATATGGGCAGTGAAGTCACATTTGGTTAGGGCTTTAGTTGCTCTCCAGGAATGATGAACTCAGCTTGATAACAGATGTTCTAAGAAGCTAACAAAAGCTACCAAGAAAATAACTTTTTTCTGGTATCACTGTATGCATCTTTTTCAAACTGACCAAGTGATCGGACAATATAAGGAAAAAGCAGTGGAGTGATTTCATATTGTAAGCCAGATATTCACTTTGAATGAAGCTCTTTGAAGCCCTTAGTAGCTAAGTAGTCTTCTCCTAAATCCTTATAAAATTTCAAGACAACAAAACGCTATGGAAGATGTCAGAACAGCAAACAGCCTCAAAGTGCTGTAGTTGGGATAACTGGAAAATAAGAAATAAGAATTGATTTATCTTTTCTCAAATTTATAGTAAATTCAATCGTGCTTACATACTGGAAGACTTGTATTTTTTTCTATTAGTAAAACATACCCCAAACGTTTCATGATCTCCCGCTCAAAGAACCTAGAGTATGCTTAAGTACTTTGTGTTAAACAGTACCATGGTGGGTTTTTTTCTCTACCATTTCAGTAAATCCAACCATTGCACCTGTGCACAGGTGTGAAGAGAGAAATCAATAAGGGAGGCTTCTTTCCCGAAGGCCCTTCCCCTCCTCACCCGTTAAACCCAACAGCTGAGGAGTTGTCAGTCTGTACTGAGACATTCTATCAAAGAAAGGATAGAAAGTTATTAAAAAGTGATAAATATGGAGGTTAGGAACCTATGTAAACAAGGATACATAAGATAATGTGAAATGAGGAAAAGCAGAATAAGAAAATGAATAGTTACTGATTAAAACGATGTTAAAAACCATACAGCGTGCACAGTTACTGTCAGGAGACCACAATTTGTGCTCTTAAGCTACTGGTTGGAATATGATCTGCAGCAAAAAAAATTATATGTGTAGGTATATATAAAACCTTCAGCTCATTCTTATAAATTGGCCCAGTGAAAACAAGAGCAGCAGTATATATAAAGATAAACACACACACCAAATATACATATACACATTATATATCACATTCTTGTAAAAAACATTTTCAATGACCTCTGAGTCAGAAGGAAGGTGCCGAAGAACACATACGTGGCTGTTATCTCGAGGTGGGATTGGAGGCAGAGGGCATTTATTAACCTTTGTCACAGCCTTCAGTGGTACAAGAACCTGCTGCTCCCGGGTCCTCTCATTTGAAGACACCCACTGCCCAGGATGAAGAGAAGCTGCTTCTTGCAGATCTGAGGCTGATTTCCCAACTCCCGGGAGTACCCTTTCCACAGCCTGGTCCCCAGACCCAGGCCTGTCCCCTGAGGCCCGGTCCCAAGTCAAAACCAGCAGTTCCTGTTTTAGAAGACAATACTACTTCTTCCCTTGCCTTGTATTACCAGTGGTCTAGGTTGTCTGATGCTCCTCAGGGTACAGCCTTATTCATCTCTGTGTGTCCCCAATGCCAGACATAGCACTTGTTACAGAGTTTCTGTTCCATTGTATACAGGGAATTATAGAGTGCAATAATAGACACCGGTGAGATGGGGGTGAGGGTTGAAAAATTACCTATAGGGTACAACGTTCACTATTCAAGTGACAGGTGCACTAAACTCCCAGACTTCACCACTACACAATATATCCATGTAACACATCTGCACTATACCTTCAAGTCATAAATCTATGAGATACATACAAATTACATATATATGCATCAAACTAAATACATACATACATTTAGACACAGGAAACTAGAACTGATTATTTTACAAAACGAAGTTACTCCTTATCTTCATGTGACTAATACCCTTCAAATGGTAGAATTCTTAAAACATAACATTTTTACTTTCTACAGAAAGCACAGAAACACAAAAGTGTTTTTAAATGATTAAAATATTTTGCAGGAATGTACTATTTAGTCCCAATATCAGTAGGGAAATGTTTCTATACAACAGTGAATTCATAGCATAGCATTACACGCAAAGGTCAAAAAGAATTAGGATAGTCTACATGTACTAACACGAAAAGATCTTTAAATGTAATGTTGTCTGAAAACAAACTGTAGGTATATAACTAGGGCCTTCTGTCATTTTTAACTAAGGTAAGCAAATCATGTATTCAGATGAATGAAAATAAGTTTACAGAGGTCTTGCATAATTTTAAGTTCTTAAAACAGCTCCCATGTACACATACACAAATCTGATCATATCAATAAAAACACAGCAAGAGAGACATCCCACTCTTATTCAACAGGAATTCTTCACCAAGACTACAAATGTAGCCCATTTGACATCGAAAACATTGAGACTGGTGTGAGAGTGAGGAAAATGGGGAGAAAAAAAGAACTTTGAAGACAAGGATTTGAAGTTAGCATGAAGCAGGGAAAGGAGGAAGGGCAAGCTTTCTTCGGTGAGAACAGTGCCTGCCGGAGAAAACCAGATCCTGGGGAGGGGTGTCTCCAGGAAGAGAAGGTCAAAGTTGCAGGTGGGCTCTGGAGACAAGGAGCTCGCACACAGTGAAGGTGGCATCCACATTGAGAAACCACTCCAGGCCGAAGGACACGCACCGAAGGCGGGAAGGGTGGCACCGTGGGCTGCAGTACTGGACAGAGCTTCGGATGGGCAGGGCCCATTGGAGGGATGGGTGCAGGTGGGGCTGAGAAAGCAGCATGGCGCAAATGCTGCAAGTATGGAAGCCAAGACATGAGCTTCCTTCCAACCACCAAAGGGCAACTCACAAGCAAAATTCTTTCATAATGCTTCACCATGTTTTTTTTTTTTTTCTTTTTTAGACAGATCTCACTCTGTTGCCCAGGCTGGAGTGCAGTAGTGCAGTCACAAACTCGCTCAAACTCAAACTCCTGGGCTGAAAGGATCCTGGCACCTTAGCCTCCCGAGTAGCTGCGACAACAGGTGTGCACCATCATACCCGGCTACTTTTTTGATTTTTTGCAGAAAAGGGATCTCCCTATGTTGCCCAGGCTGGTCTTGAGCTCCGAGCTTCAAGTCATTCTCTTACCTTGGCCTCCCAAAGTGCTGGGATTACAGGTGTGAGCCAAGGTGCCTGGCCCCCTCACCATTTTTGCTGACCGAATCACTTGACTAACCTAACCATAGCTTGCTACTGAAGATGCTGGCAACCTAGTAGACAATACATCAAGATGCAATGATGCTCCATGGAAATGCAATACCTTCCATCCAACCAAGGTAAAAGTGTCAACTAAATGCTAATGTCTCCACCAACCACAGATGGGGTTTGCAGGAGCAATGGCTGTAGGGACACTGAGATTTCACCCTCCAGAAGACAGCATCTTCCTGTGTCACAGCTAGATCACCAGCTACCCACAGACAGCCTGAACTCCAATAGTCTCCCTGCACATGTGCCTTTAAAAGTTTTACTGGCATTATTGCTTTTTTACTTCTGGTAATTGCTTTAAAAGAACAAAGCTCTTTGTTTAAGGGGGGCCCAGGGATCTTATAATTGCCACGAGGCACTTGAGAGGTTCCTAGACTTTCTAAACAGTTTCTCTTTTAACATTAAATATTAAGTTCCTAATGTTTGGCCAAAATGTAGATGCTCCCTAAGGAGGGGGAAGTGATGCTATCAGGAAGATCGTGTAGACTGGTAAGAGATCCCTCCCACATTGCTGACTTCAGAACCACATTTTGACTACAGAACCACGGCACCTGAGGAGGGGTGCCAGCCACCCTGTGCCCATGAAACCACAATGTCTCGCCAGAAGCAGGGCACACTCTGGCCCCAGCCGTGTCAGGGGCTTCAGACTCGTTAATACTATTTTCTATGTTAAAATAAATGATGACGTATCGGTTCACCTGCAATGAATCACATCGAGTCAGTTCTTCAACGAGTGTTTCCAGAATCTTTAGAAAGGGCTCCAACCCAGCCAGTGTAGGTGCTCACTGTCCCGTGGTATATTTTTCCCCAGAATTTTCCAGCTGTAACTAACAGTAATTTCAGTGACATTAAATACTATTACAGGAACTTTCCAAATGTAGAGGACCCTTTAGAATGAAGCCTTGAGCATGAGGGGCAGATCTCCTCATCCAACCACCACCTGACTCTGTGTGAACCGGGAACTGTTAGGTGAGCCCATCGGCTTGAGCGGATGACCCAGGCTTGCAAAAGAGGAGACTGGGGAAAGCTTTGCCTCTCCCTTTCCGGGGGAAGACCCATTTTTAAAATAACAATGTCCTATTTTCACAGAATGTCTGTGCTGTGATGAAAGGTCATCTGCCTACAATGTTATGATACAGACCTCAAACCTACAAACATGAAGAACTTCTGCTTCTAGGTTAACTGGTTACCCACTGTATAAGACACATCACACACAGTCCAGGAGGCGGAGTTTCTGAGATACCTAGAAACAGCTTAGAGGCAAAGTGACAAAGCAGCAACAACAAATAAAACCAATCCTCTGAAACTGGCTCTCGCTTAGGCCTAACTAGTTATGCACCACTTGAATAACTAGATCAAGTTCCCTTGAGCTGTCTTTTATTTTAAAATGCTATTGTAGGGCTGACTCATCCATTCCTTATCATGCCCAGTGTACTGTTCATATCTCGTAATCAACTTGGTGCTAAAAGTAGTGACGAGCCATTTACAATGCCAGAAATCAAATTTTGTACCAGTGAGAATCAGTTTTGGCTCCAAACAATATATAATAATGAATGTGATAACTTGTATGAAATGGCCAAATCTGTTAAGAAATGAGAACTACCAAAATTCACTAAAGAAAAAGTAACCTTGTATAGTCCTATATCTATTTGAAAGCAGGTATTATAGTTCAAACCCTTCACACACACAAAGGCTACCAATTTTTTTTTTTTTTTTTTTCTGAGACATAGTCTCGCTCTGTCGCCCAGGCTGGAGTGCAGTGGCCGGATCTCAGCTCACTGCAAGCTCTACCTCCTGGGTTCGCGCCATTCTCCTGCCTCAGCCTCCCAAGCAACTGGGACTACAGGTGCCCACCACCTCACCTGCCTAATTTTTTGTATTTTTAGTAGACACAAGGTTTCACCGTGTTAGCCAGGATGGTCTCGATCTCCTGACCTTGTGATCCTCCTGCCTCGGCCTCCCAAAGTGCTGGGATTACAGGCCTGAGCCACTGCACCCCACCAAAGGCTACCAAATATTTAAGGAAGAAATAATACCAACTGCACACAAATTTTGCAATAAAACTAAAGAGAGAGGGATACTTCCTAAAAAAAATTTCAGCAAATCAAGTCCAAAAATACATAAATACATCATGACCAAGTATGGTTTATTTCAAGAATGCAAGCCTGTTTTATCATTAAAAATCAGTCAATATAATTCATTATAATATAACAAAATAATGTTATAATTCACAGGAAAAAAATATGTCTATAGATTTAGAAAAAAAATTTGAAAAAATCCAAAGTGTTATTGATAAAACTCTCATAAATTAGAAATAAAAGAAAACTTTCTTAACCTGATAAAGGGTATTTATTTTAAAAACCTATATCCAACATGATTTGTAAATGTAATAAGAATGTCAGTTTATGGTGAAACACTGTATGGCTTCCCAATAAGATCAGCAACAAGGCAAATATACCCATTCTCACCACTCATATCCAACTTCGTACTAGAATTTCTACCCTGTACAATAAAGCAAAACAAAGAAATAAGATGTGTCTAGATTGAAAAGAAGTTTTCTTTATTCACAGAAAACATGATCGTCTATGTAAAAATTCCCATGGAATCTCAAAAAAATACAAGTCATGCGAACAAATAGGGGAGCTTAGCAATGTTGCTGAATATAAGATATATAAAATCAATTGTATTCTACACGTTAACTAACAATGAGAAATTTAAACTTTTTAAGAAATCCCATTCACAATAGAATCAGAAAACAAAAGTTACTTTGAAATAAATCTGAGAAAAATGTAAAATACTTATACACTGAAAATAGAAAATATTGCTGACAGAAAATTAAAGAAGACCTACATAAGTGGAGACATATACCATCTTCATACATCAAAAGACTCAGAATCAGTAAGGTGTCAGTCATCTCTACACTGACCTACAGATTCCAAATAATCTGAATCAAAACTCCAGCAGGGATTTCCGTAGAAATTAACAAGCTGACTCAAAAATTCATGTGGAATGCAAACAACCTAGAGTAGCTAATTCCAACGATAACTTTGAAAAAGAATATATTGAGAGGACTTACATTACCTGATATCAAGACTTACTACAAAGCTACAATAACCAAGAGAGTCTTGCGTTCATGAACTGATAGACAGAAAGACAAACAGAACAGAACAGAGTCAATTTATTTTCCACAAAGTTATAAAGTCAATTTATTTTCCACAAAGTTACAAAGTCAAGTCAATGGAGAAAGAATGGTGTCTTCAACAAATGACGCTGAAACAATTGGACACTATTACGAATTTCAGAGTCGTAATTCATAATTCACACCATACACAAAAATTAGTCAAAAAAGATGATAAACTTAAATGTACAACATTAAACTATGAAACTTTCAGAAAAAAAAAATAAGGGAAAATCTGTACTCTGAAGGCCACACAACAATTTCTTAACAACAAAAGCCTTAGAAACATAGTCAATTGGATTTTGTCAAAATTAAGAGCTCTCAAAAGATACTTCTAAGGGAATGAAAAGATAAGCCATAGACTAGGAGAAATTATTTGCAAATTACTTTTCTGATAAAAGACCTACTAAAGGTATTCAGAACATTTAAAGAACTCTCAAAACTTCATAAGGGAAAACAACCGTAGTTTTTAAAAATGGCAAAAGATCTTCATATAGAGATCATCAAAAATATATATAAGAAGGCAAACAAGCACATGAAAAGATATTCAATATCAATATTCATCAGGGAAATGCAAATTAAAGCCTCAATAAGATCCCACTACACACATCTGAGAATGTGTAAAATTAAAAAGACTGGTCACCTCAAGCATTGATGAGGATCTGCAGCAACTGAGACCTCATGGACTGCTGGTGGGAATCGGCAATGTTACAGCCACTTTAGAAGAGATTTTGGAGGCTGGGCACAGTGACTCACACCTGTAATCCCAGCACTTTGGAGGCCGAGGTGGGAGGATCACTTGAGCCCAAGAGTTTGAGACCAATCTGGGCAACATAGCAAGATTCCGTCTCTACCAAAAAAAAAAAAATTTAATTAGCCAGGGGTGTTGGCACATGCCTGTAGGCCAAGCTACTCAGGAGGCTGAGGTGGGAGGATTGATGGAGCCTGGGAGGCTGAGGCTACAGTGAACCAAGATTTCACCACTGCACTCCAGCCTGGGCAACAGAGTGAGACCCTGTCTCAAAAAGAAATAAAAGAAAAGAGCTTGGCAATGTCTTAAAAAGTGTTAAACTCATAGCTACTATATCACATAATCATTTCATTCCTAGGCTTCATCCAAGACAAACAAAGCATATGTCCACACAAAGACATGTATGCAAATATTCGTAGCAGCTTTATTTAGAACAGCCAAAACCAAGGACCAATCCACATGTCCATCAAAACGTTAATAAATAAATAACGGAATTCTACTCAGCAATAAAAAGAATAAACTATTATTGAAACACTCAATGAGAGGGCTGAAACTCAAAATAATTATGCCGCGTGAAAGAACCATATCCCTCCCAAAAAAGTACATCTTATACGATTTCATTTACATCAGTATCTAGAAAATTCCTGCTACTGTATGGTGACAAGAAGCACACCAACGGTTGCTGTGGGGGAGACAGGGCAATGCGGGAGATGGGTTACCAAGGGGGATGAGGAAATTACCGAGAGTGGTGGGAATGTTCCTTGTCTTGATTGTGGTGATTGCTTCTTGAGTGTATACATCTGTCAAAAGAGTTCACTTCAAATACGTGTGTTCTGTATGTCAATACACCTCAATAAAGTTATTTTAAGTCACCTTATCAATGAGGGCTTCTCTGAATAACCCCCTCACTTCAAATTACAATATTGCCCACCTACCCCACCTGTCTCTCCCTTAATTTTTCTCCATAGATTTTATCACTTTCCAATATAACGTACGTTACTTACTTGTTTTGTTTATATCTGCCTCCTCCTGCCCATGCCACTGAGCTGTGGGCTTCCTGAGGGTAGAGGTTGTTTTCTGTTTTCTGGCATGATGTGTCCCTAGCAACTCAAATAGAGCCTCACTGAAGGAATGAATGGTGAAGGCTTCTTTGCCTCTGTAGCCTCCCATGAGCTCTCTCAGGTCCTCTTATTTTTTATAACGCAGACTGAGTTCTCCTGCCTAAACACATAAGGTAACAGAAAGCAGGAAATATACATGTATTCTACTGATGATTCTCTGTTAATCATGGGAGTCGTTCAGCCCTTCTGGGTTTCAATGTCCTCATTTATAGAAAGAGAAATAGATGATCTCTATGATCTAAATGTTTGTTATTTGTAACGTACCCTTCTCAAAATTAACCTGCAGATCCATCAAAAGTGTGAGACTTAGTAACTTTTAGCATATACATATACACAGTAGATTTATATGAACTGACTCGAAAAAATACATGTCAAAAATTAAGTAAAAAGAGATGCTGTCAAACAACATGCATAGTATGATCCAACATACTAAAATACTGTAAAACTAGATCTACACGTATATGTCCAGTGGGACACGGAGGCCTACAGAACAGGCGGGGTGATGGCTGTTCAACTGCCAGCTGTGGTTACTTCGGGGATCACAGGAAAAGAAAAGAGAGTTTCACTTTTTACCTCACATGCTTCAAAACAAGACAAGTGAAACTATTATGAAAGAGATATTTTTGTATTTGTTTTTTTCTAAATTTTATATATATATAACTATTTTTTAAAAGCATTTTAAATTAAAACTCTTGCTCCGGACCTCAAATATCCACTTCTACTAGGAAAACCTCTCTAACTTAGACTGCAGAATGCAAGGCTGTTGGCATTATTTTTCTGGGCCTGCAAATCACCCTGAAACTAATAGCATTCCAAATCTGTGTCAAGCTCACTGCAGAGCTGCATTTAGCACGTTCCCTGAAGGGTCCTTACCCTGTAGTAAAGTTTCCCCATCCTGCAGAAAAGAGATAATTTCTGTGCTAAAGTGGACAACAACAAGAGAAAAAGAGTCACTGGAGAAGAAAAGAATGGGAAAGGTCCTGATCTGTGATCGCGATAGCAAAGATTTCCCATTTTTTATGACTCAGTGGTAACTATCAATGTCCGTCCTAGATCTACCAGGGACCAAACTGCAATTGTGTTGCCATAACAAACTAGCAGAGTGGACCAGATCACAGAATGGCCAAAGCGTGAGGCAGCCCCAGCAAGGCCCAGCTAGACTAAGGAAGCTGTGACATTATGAACGCATCTTGGGGCAAGAACACGGCAAAATGGTTTTCCCTTATCGTATCAGTTTTCCCTAGCCAGAGAAGGAACCAGG